TACATATTAAAGCATACATTATTCACCTCTCACACAAACTTGGAGTAATGTAACTTTATGTGTAGTGCAAAATGACGAACTCATGTTTGTCCCGGCTGTATAGAAAAAAAAATTCGCATTTCACAGACAGTTGAGAAATATAGGTCTCATGCTAATTTCATATTATGAAGAAATATTGCCTCCCGAAGCAAACTTTGGGGCCCGGAGCGTGTCTCCATTTTACATTTTCTTTGACATGGATATTTTTATGATAAAGTTTCTTTGTCCGCCAAACTGTAATCCCCCGAGTAGAGTGGGTTTGAGGAGATACCTGTGCCCTGGAATAATATCGTTCTGGGAATGGAAAGGGCAGGTGATATTTCAAGTTGCGGAATAAAGGATGGGCAGAAGGAAAGACAAAGAACAGTGTTTTCTGGGTAAAGTCTGATCCAGATTCTAATGAGAGCTTCGTGTTTCGAAAAGAACAACATTTTCAAAGGATATATCTCCTTGAGTATCGATCAGAATCGAGTGTACGAGAGAAATAGCAAATAATACATTTCGACTTCTCACCATCCTGTATAATTAAGAACAATTCGGAGTATAAACCCACACTTGGATGCACTCATTCTTTTGACAAACTTCACAACAGATGAATAGTACTGGAGTCCAATCCCAACCGTTATTTTCAACACCTCGACACGTGTTTGAATCCTCAAGTGATCATCTTCACGAGGAAGACTCCACTAATTCATTACTACACCAAAGGTTCCTAACAATGGATCACAAGTTCACAACAGATGTTCCAATTATTCTACCTGTCAACTTATTTCGCGTGTTGGTCGGTCATTAAACCTAGATATTTGATTGAGGTACTTTCTGAAATTGGGAAATTCTGGTCGTTGATGGTCCTAGTCCCTCAGGTCATAGATATCGAGGGAGCGTTTGATAAAACAACCTTTCCAACGATTACCCAGCAACTACACTTTAGAAATGTACCTCTGGTAGTAGGAGAATGGATACTCAAGATGATCTCTAGTAGAGCAATAAGTATCAATGTAGAAGACATCACAGGACTGGAGAGGACTGGTCATTAGGTGATGACCACAGGGAGAGGTCTTATCACCCCTTCCTTCCTTATCACCTGGAACACAGGTCTGGGTACCCCGATTAATCACCTCAACAATAATCACCAAACAATAATGGATTCACAAATTTGCCGATCTTGCAGATCGGCAAATTTGTGAACACACTGTGCGATAGAGCGCAGGATGGACTTAAATTATTAGAGACATGGTGTGAGGAACAGTCACACAGTCTATCAATCCCAAGAAGACTGAGATAGTCCTTTTCACTAGAAAAAGAAGTTTGTCATGCTTAACTCCCGAAATCTTCAAAAGCAAACTGATCCTCTCTGAAGAGGTGAAAAACCTTGGTACTATCATCGATCGAAAGCTAACATGGAACTCTCTCCTACAGAGTAAAGCAAAAAGAGCATATGTGGCTTATGAGCAATGTCGGACAGTGGGACGCGCATGGGGTCTTTCACCCCGTGTGGTCACCTGGATCTACACTGCAATAATAAGACCTATGTTAACATACGGGGCCATTGCATGAAGACCAAAAGTTCTACAAGCAACAAAAGTTCAAAAACCAAAGAAGGCTCAGGATGTGGAGTGTACTACAGATCACTAAGCCTAAGGAGTAGGTGTGGAATGGGAAAAAATACCAGCGTTGTTCAAACAGAACCGGTTTGTATCTCAATCGCCACAATTTTTCTGAATGTGGATGAAGAAGTAGAAAGTGGAAATCCTGGTAATCTGATTACAATGATGTGTCATTTAGTTTTTTGAAAAATAAGAAATTAGTGATATTGGTCTTCAATTGGCAATCTCAGGAATCAACGTAACCAACTTTCAAGATATTTGATAGGTATATTTGGGTATAATATGAAGATATAGAATGACAAAATCTTTTTTTTAGCAAAAAATCACTGGATACCTCACATAATGGCACATAATTTGAGTGTTGGGTTTCCAGAATGAAAATTTTCGTCATTGTTGTGAAAATACATTCTTGAATATTTCACTTACGTAAAATCGGATTTGTGATAACAGGTACCTATTTATTAACAAATTATCCGTATGAAAAATGTTATCAATAATGTATTAAGTGTTTGAATTAACATTCAGTTTGTGTTACCATGGACATCAATCAATTCATATACTAATAAAAGTGTAACTTATCGCTGTGTCAAACTGGAAGATATATGAGAAATTATCGCAAGATTTTTACTAACGACAAACCACACAAATTATTTTTATGGTTACTTTTTGTCTATCTGTCTGTGCGTTTGTGCTCGCTCATTTCAAAAACGGCCCAACCGATTCGAATGCAGTTCACATTAATTCATTGAGGCGAGCTTCAATAAGCATTTTTTTATTTCGATAAGGTCACAAATGAAAATGAAGTTATGTCAGCTCAAAAAAACTTCTTGAGCATTTGTTTGAAACTGAAACTGAAAGTGACCAATATTTGATGCAAATCCGTATCAAAACTTATAATAAAATTTATTTTGAAAAAAAATTAAATGTAGATATCGGAAGTTGGAAAATCATCCACATATTTTCATATCACATAAATAATATCTTGCTTTCAGGGGTTAATTCATTTAAAGATTTAGAAGTTATTTTTCACTCAAAACTTATTTTTGATGAACATATAGATTATGTAATTATTAAGAGTAGTAGAGCTCTAAGATGTGTCACGAGAAAATGTAAATTTTTCAATCAATTAAAATCAATAACATCTCTTTATAATGCATATGTTTTGAGTGAGTTGATGTTCGCATCAACCCTTTGGAAAATGCTGGAGAATACTCGAATCACCGAAAACGATGATATTCTGTGAATAGACGAGGCCTCCAGTTTTTGTAGTTGGAACATAGGCGTAAAACATATCAGATTTTTACAAAAATAATAGCAAACAAAATAAATTGTCCATCGTTATAGTCAATGATTTGCTCAAATGTTCCGAATAGAACAACAAGAGAACACGATTTATTCATATTACCCTTAAGAGAACAAATTGTTCGCAGAACTCTCCTCTATATGTCGATGTGTTAAACTGGGCAATACTCTTGCAAAATACTTCGATATTTTCAATACATCTTTACTTACGGCCAAAAAAATTTCGAAAACGTAATTTTATCAGTTATAATTCATTCATATATTTAGTTAATAACTGTAAATAATTTTTTTTTGTTATTGTATTTATTTCTTATTCATCTTTTAATTTAGATATGCACATGTTTATTGTCGGTTACTTTGAATTTGATATTAATTCAATTATGTGGATACTGTGGTGGATTTTTCTGTTTGTATCCCGAATACATAAATAAATATGCCTCGTAATAATAAATACAAGTAGTTTAGGGTAAGCCTTCTACATTGATTAATCCATAATGCTGTTTACGAAGTTAACAAATTTTTTCGGATTTTTTTATTTGCCAAATATTATATATTTCTCATACATGCAATGCTTCTCAAAAGTGAACATAGTTCTGTAAAATTGATGACAAAACTATATCAGGAAAATGGTCAGGCAGCTCAAATTTAATTTCAATTTAATCATGCACCTAGTTTTTGAACCCCAAATCGTCACCTTCAGGAAGTGAATAGTTAACACGATTATTAGATCGGTGTGTTCATTACTTTACTTTGTTGTCGAAACAACAACAAAATTCTGTTTTTTTTTTCAAATATCACACTGCAAAATCATTAAATATTAAATGTTCGAACTACAGTCCACTCAACGAGTTCACAATTTCCTAACCGAATGTATAATATACCTATGCATGTTGAACAAATATCTAGTCTTTGACGACTATTGGGGAGATCCACACAGAATGGATTTTAAAACCTCTTCATTCGTAATTAAAGTTACATCCCTATATGAATTCAAAAGTTGAAAAGTATGAAAGATCCCTATATGAATTCAAAAGTTGTATTTTGAATATGTTCAATAATTTAATTAAAAATGATTTGGGTGCATAGCACCATCTCATGGCAGGTAGTAAAAGTAGCAAATCAGAGTCATTTCATAGGTTTCGCTTACACCGGCTGAGGGAAGTAATTTAATAACTTATGTACCAGGAGCGGGTAGAGATTATGGGCGGCAGGGTCATTGGGATCGGTAATATTATTTGTGTTTATTTGAAATAAAAACTCGACACTTCAATGAACATGTTTGCTGTGGAGTGTGAAAAACGGTAGTCAACATTGTGAACAACACGGTTGTTCCATAAAAAAGTGATTGACATCACATGAATAAACAATTTATATGTAATTTCAACCTGTCGCTTATTCCAAAGAATCGATTTCAATAATAATTTTGATACATTACGGAAAAAAATGGAATCGCATATTGAAAATCCTTGATTCATTTCGCAAGAAAATATGAAATTATTCCCTAATTGTCATTGAGTATCATGTGATGTCAGAAAATAACTCAAACTATTGAGGTCCGGAAATCCATGTGGCTATACCCGTGGTACTTCGTGACCTACGCAATAATTATTATGATTTTGCTTCAGTTGTCGGTGCGCCAAAAATCACCGCTCCATTAAAGTTCATGTGAAAGAAGAGGACTGGTGATATCATTTCATGCATTCAGAATGTCGGTTTATTTTTGTTTCATTATGTACCTTCAAATTTCCTTCATTTTCATACCTATTGTTTCTCACCTTATTTCTGTTCTCAGCTGTGGGGATAGTGATATAATCTGTTGAAAACAATTCTTCCACATTCTTTACAATACATTGTGAAGAGCCAAAAATATCTCTCAATCATTTGATTTTTTAAATTCCCATTCGATTCTCCAAACAATACTTGACATCTACGCCCATGGTGGATGTCCATTGAATAACGAATTTACCTCCAGTCTCAAGGGCGCAGGAAGTGTATGCGAATGTTGGCAGCAGCGACGGCGCGACGGTTTTCGTATGACAGCAAACGTAGTATAATTTCGATTTCTGAGTTTGGCAGCAGTGTCGCTTGAAGCTTGGTGCACGTGGAGTGGATGTTAGAAGTGTCGTGAGAGTGGTGCTTCGATAAAAATATTTAGTTTTGTATAATTTACACTGGGTTCATGTAAGTTAATTTTTTTACACAGAACTACTTACATCTGATATTGATTGTGTGATAACCCGACAATATTTATTTCTTAGTTAATGAATTCACTTGATTGTGTAAGGTAAGGACGCACAGTGCCGCTATTGAAGCGGTTATGTTGTATTTGCTATGTGCTGTTTTATGTAAATGTGTTAAAAATACCTGTCTTTTTTCATGAATCCAATATACTTGGTATGTTTACACCTTCAGTAGTTCTATTTTTATCCCCCGCAAATTGCACTACTTTGTAACCTATACTAATTATGGAACAAATATTTTGTTTACGATCTATATCCAAACATGTCTCCCTCATTAGCTATATCGAAAATCGCACTTTAGAAGAGAATTACACAATCTATGATTTTTTTATACTTTCTTTCCTTCTTTTGATCGAGTAACACATGGTTCATTGATTAATCTTTTGTTTGCATTGTGATATATATACAATACAGAGTGTCTAAATATACTCTGACTTTTTATAACCTCAAAAGTCTTAAATTGAAAGTGATAAATTCATTGAAAGAAATTTCTCAATGGAATTATAAATACTTCGGAAATAGAGTCCAATATCATAGGATATATTCGTTAAAAGATATACCTAAACAAAATTACAAATACCTACCTTGGAGGAGGGAGTTCAAATAGACCCTAGGTAAATTTATGCACCAGTCGTAAGTTGCCAGTTTTGAATCATAGGCATTTTTGTTCTTCATTCGTCACTTCTAAAGAACCTACAACTCCTGCACTCAGACATTATGAATTATTGTATATGAGATGTCTATGCTTATGCATGAATGTTTCCACTGAAACTTCTTACGAAATCAAGACGGGTACATGAATCGCTTAGGTTGGATTCATAACACAATTGTAAGCAGTTGAATTATTGCTTTTCAGTGGCATCCCCAGGTATACTAACTCATGATATATATGTGTCGGAACCATGTGTTCAGTGGCAACAGATGAAAAACATGAATTCTCACAACCTAAATTATGTGACTCAAGACTGCTGCATGAATCCACTCTGGTTGCTTGAGAGTGACGTGCCAATTTCAGTCTACACGGGCTTCCCTGAAGCATTCAATATAAAGAACTGTCGCTTGTATTGTTTACAGAAGTGGTAGAAGTTATCTTCATGGTTTTCGTGACTAAGTAGTTTCCTTCCAGATATATAGAGTTGATAATCGAATCGGGGTACACCCCGAAGTGCATCGAAGTCACTTCAGAAGTTTCGAAAGGTTCCCAGTTGGATCTGGCATTATATTTTAGTACTTAAGTTATTGGAAGTAAAACTTCATTATTTTATCAGAAGTAAAACATGCAACTTAGGCAACTCATAAATAAGTGAACTTTAGAAATACATTGTACATTCTTTCAATTAGTATATGATATATAGTCTGCCAAGTGACAAGTAAAAGTATTTAAAGTTATGCCGACATCCTTAACAACTTCTCCAATAGTGATTCGCCAGTTTTACCTTCATATTGTGGGTGAAACTGGCAAATCTAGTGAAATTATATGAAAGAATTATGACTATCAGCAGTAAAATGTTCAAGTTACAAAATACCACATTACAGATTTAACTAACAAACAGTTAAGTATGCTTGTAAATGCAAAAAATACATTGACTTGACTCTGATTAGAATATATTGACGAATAATTTGGTGGATCACCTTGATACCTGTAAATATTTATATATCTGCTATAACTTTTGTTGTAATAGGATTGTGTTCAAACAATATTAGTATTTACAACTGCCCATTAAGTAGCTCATTATCTATCTGCTGATCTAATTTATTGTTTGACAGCTTTTATGGGACAAATTATGGATTCAAGTCCAGATAGGAAAAGAAAAATATTTCCATATTCATGTTATGTAACTGACATACCTTTAGTGTGTTTACATTTATAGTATTTGCATAACCAGGTAGTGTTCTTTTTCCTATTATTACCTGTTAATGAAAATATTTTTCAGCAAGTGCATAGTTTTTCTCAGATAATTGTTCATTTGATGCTTACGCTCTCTTTTTTGTTTCAGATTCGAACCCAAACCTTCCCCTCCGCCCTGATCCCCGGCTTCTTTCAGAATGGACCAAAACCTAATGTTAAATGATGACTCGAAAGTCACAATTACAATTAGACTGATAATGCAAGGAAAGGTAAGTACGCTTCTTTTCGTGGCATGTTCATGCAATAATTGAAAAGAGAATTAATAGAATTGTCGAGAATTATTTGGCTGATTTAACTGTTAGAGGTATTAATAATTTTTGTAGAAACTGCATTATTTCACACAAAAAAGATTTTGAACCCATTTTATTTTGATCTAGAGTTGATCTCACCTGGAGCATAGTTCAAAGTTATAGAAGGTTACGATAACTTTACCCAATGTTCCTACACAATAGGATCCAAAACTATGACCAATGTTGTGAATAGATCGAGTGAAGCACAGACAAAAGCAGAAAAATGGTTCCATACAAATAAACTTTTTATTAACAGAAGTAAAACATTACATTAAAAAACACTAATGATTACGAAAACTCATTGAAAAGTGCGAAATTCCTAGATGTGTATCTTGATCCAAAATTGAAATGGGATGAACATATCAACTATACAGCAAAGAAATTACTAAAAAAAATTATATGTACTTAGAAACTTATCAATATGTGTATCTAATGTGACACTACGAGCTGCATATTTTGCTTTATGTCATTCACTCATAACTTATGCCATTATTGCATGGGGGCACGCTGCGGAAAGGCATAAAATTTTCAGGTTACAAAGAAAGGCAATTAGAATTATAGATGGAGTTTATTATAAAGATGATTGTTTATAAAAAGTCCCGAATCCCGAAACTCTATCTCTATTATTTATAATTTCAATTTGACGTTGAAAATAGGGTTCCGCGCGGCTGTTACGGCATGCGCGCGCTGCCGCTAAAGAGAGTTTATCAAAAGAAATTGTGTTTTTATAACATAAAATGTCATTTTGAAAATTAGAAAAAAATCTAGTATCTTCTTAACACTTGAATGAATCGAGTCCCGTAGAAAAAAAATTTTATCACCATTTTTCAAAAAGTTATTCAATTGTACTATGTTAATAACTGCCATTGTTTAATGTGAAAACGGACATAGCTAAATATTAATTGAAAATAAAATTTTGTCCACATTTTTTAGATATTTCATTTTGCAATAGTTATAAAAAATCATAATTAACAAATTTTCATGAACTTTTATCGCATGGAGCTAAAAAAGACATCGACATTTGAACGGACAAAACTTTTGAATCAACCTAGTATAAACAGTTTCTTCTTCTTGAAAATGTGATCATTGAGAGCATTTTTCATATCTGCACTTGATTTGTCGAATATTTTCAGTCTCGGTATATTCGGTGATTTATGAGTTACATCATATTCAGCATGTGGCTGAAAAACGTTATTTATGGTTTCACGTCTTTCAATCATCTGGAGAAATTCCTCTTGTGAGAGGCATTATATCCTGTATCAAACGATCAAACACAAAAAAATAACATTCCTTTATGTTAAGGAATGTATTGAGAAACAACCAGATGCTTTGAAGCAAGCTGGAATAAATTTTGTTGGAACTTCAATGAATGGAGAAAAAATAATAAACACAGTGGATGTTTTTGTGAATGAAGAAAATAAACATTATTTTGGAATAAAAACAGATAGAATTTGAATTTGCTCATTCACTGAGGTTTGATTTTTTGTTGTTGAAGCTCATATGTTTACTACATATGGCCACAACACCAAATTAGTAAAACCGACCAAGGAGGATTTTGATTTTCCATTGACATCTACAAATTTCGCAATAATTCTCGTTAAATGTCAAAAAATACAGTAAATTACATGCTTGGATTTATTGATTGGAAATAAATCATTGTGAAATATGATTGTTAAATGTGTCTTTCTGATTTCTAGCAGTAAAGAATGTGAAAATATTATAATGACATCCAAAAGATTAACAGCAATATCGACCCACTAAGAACGTTGAACTCCATTGTCTGATAAAATATTTCTCACAGAAATTTGCATGATTATATGAAATGACATAATTATAGTGGTTCACAAAATTATTCCATTGTTTGCCGTTATTTGTGATGAAAGCAAGTGTCGCCAAGTTGATTTTTGTTACAATGTTTTTACATCTTTCTCTGTGACACTGTCTTTTTTCCTACAAATTCTTTAGTGAAATATAAATTTTGTAAACAGTTGGAATCAATAATGTCTGTAGATGGCTATTGCCACATTTTGAAAGGACAATCTAACACGTTTTTGACCTGATAATTTTTTCAAATTGAATAGTATCAAATCGCAAGACGATATACAAAAAGAAAACCTGCTGAATATTCTAGGTATAGTGTTTATTGGAAATCCTGAAACATTTTAATGGAAAAAACTGCAAAGGGTATTAAATTAACCTGCATCATTATCAATATCAACTTTTCCAGGAGTTAATCGAGGCTACATACTCTCATCTAAGCAACAGTGTGCTCCAAAACACGTGATCTCCCAGACAAGGCTGTTTGTACAGAGTCGTACTACGGAACGACCGATTTTTTTTTAAATATGCGGCTGGGTTAGGAAAATTTTTCAGGCGGAATGTAGGGACATAAACTTGCAGTTTCTTCTTCTTCAGCCGCAACAGCACTTTGAAATACCGTATATGTACACACCACAAGCGTTAAAACGCAACTGACCACTTCGACACTGTAACAATGAGTTCCGCCAGCCGATTGCAGTTGAATCTGATTGGCCAGCGTAAGGAGGCTTGTTTATTTTACCCAATAGATGCAAATGTCAGTGGTGATCATGCTTTGATCATGCATCTATCTTTGTTTGGGTCACTTTGTTGGATGAATGTAGTTTAGTTCTTTCACGAAATGTCCATGCATTTTCATGTAGCTAAATTATTACACTGCTTGAAGTAAGTATTTGTAAAACTCAATAAATTTGGTTTTATAACGCTTATTTTTTTTTTAATCTGTATTTGTTGATGGTACATTTTACGGTTGTGCCAGATCATCCAATTCATGCCAAAAGATCTTGGTAATCTTCGACTTGTAGTGCTCGCTGTTGACAGTGATGGTCTGGCCAACGTCGTTCTCAAAGAAATATGGACCGATGACGCCGCAAGCCCAAAATCCTTATCAAACAGTGATGCATTGAACGCTCTTGGATCTCATGTGGGTTGGTATCGTCCCAAATTCGACAATTTTGTTGGCGAATAGTCCTTTTGGTAGGGCGATTGTGGGCGTAGCGCGCGGTACGTTGCCCGAACACGTGTTGTTGAATGCTAAATCCGCGTGGTGATTTGGCAAAACAGACTGAATAAATGACAACTAATTTGACAGATGTACCTTCAACAAGATGGCCTTTATCAATTGTCGAAAGTTCCGTGTTGAAGGCTCTATAGTATTACCGTCGGTAAAAACTGCTGGCCGTCGTTTCCATCTAGGACAAAACTGGTACAGTACAGCGTTTACAGTTCCAAAATCAGTTGCTACTTCCGATAAATCTTTGAATCGTCTTTTTTACCTCCGCCTGAAGTCATTAAATCACTTGCTTTTGACTTCATTTCCATTCAGTCTAAAGATTCTAGGCCTTGGTATTTAGATCCTTTGACATGAAGCATTTTCGTCTTCGGAAATTCTTTGAATTTAGTTTTTCATTTCATATGTACGCTCAGAAAGTTGAGAATCTTGCCATCAGTTGACGTAAAGATCTAAACGCTCAGTCCTTATTATCCCTATTACAACTGCCCCCCATGCCCCCTCCCGGGTTGAGTGCCCTGAGTTGAAATCTTCTCCACATGGGTAAGGTGTGCAGAACATTCCATTGCGTCCATCCACCCCCGCTTCTCCGGAGCGGTCCACAACTTGCCGATGGGCGTCTAGGTGCTTTTACTTTCTAATCTGTTATGTTGTTTCATCATGACTTTCCTAACTGACTTATTGTTTGGGGTCCCCAAAAACTAACCGAGGGAGTGTCTTTAGTCTTGGATCTCAGTGAATCTGATAATAAGATCAGTTTGAGGTCTGGTTAGAAATTTTTATACGTACCGGAGACGCCTGACAGCGACTCTCGGGGGTGGTCTCTGATTCTGCTTAGTTGGCCTCCTGTGTTTGTTCCTCTCTCGGAATCTGGGGTAATCCCTGTGTAGTGCGTTATGTAGGTCGCTTAGCGCTGGATTATCATGCGCTCGAATTCTGTCAAACGTGTACTCTGCGTGTTTCCTCATGTATGCGTTATACGTAGTGTATGTTCAGATCCCAGAATATGTACCTATTCGGTACATATCTTGGAGCGTTTATGGCGGCCCTTACACACGCGTTCATAAACGACTGGATCTGTCTTCTTTACGCGCTGCGCACTGGCCCCAGGCAGTGCAGGTATTCAGGATTATCGGTAGTATTACGGTCTTGATCATCAGCAGCTTCACTTTCAGTCCCATGTTGCTTCTTCAACCTATTATTGGTAATAGGTTTTGTCGGGCAGATCTCGCTATTCCTATTCTCTGCCATACGTGAGACCTGAACGTTAATCTTTTGTCTAGGTTGACCCCCAAGTATCTAACTTCGTTGGTCCACGGAATCTCTTGTCCGTTGAAGATGACGTTTCCTTCCGGGTGTACCATCCTCCGGGTGAACAGTATTGCCTGACTCTTGTCAGGGTTTATACTGATCTTTCACTTCTTGGCCCATTCCTCTAATCTATCTGCCTTATTACTACTGACAACGATAGTGAACAGTGAGGGCATTCTGACTGTTGGGGAAAGTCTACGGGCGGAAATCAGAGGGACGTAATTAACTCCCTGACGGAACTAGGGTCTATACCTGAAATAAAGGGTCTTTTTTCAGGTATAGACCTGAAAAGGGGGTCTTTTTTCAGGTATCGGACGGAACTCCAGTGCAGTAGTATTTACACTGGCATTAACGTTGATTTTAGTAACATCGGTTGTTGAAAATCTCGAAATTCCATATAGAAGTTGTCTATGAAATTTTCAAACCCTTTTAGAACAAACAAACTGAATTTATTTCAATAGAGGCATCACAATATACGTGATATATCCGGAAACACGTGCGTCGATGATGCTTGGCACGTAATTATAGAATGTAATTAATAAAGTCGAGTTAAATCGGC